GGGGAACAGCTCCACAGCCAAGGGTGGGTGGAGGGGAGTGATCTTGGGAGCAAGCAGCAGCACACCAATAAACTCATCCATCCATCCATCATGCACCACACACAGTGCTTTGGGCACAGTGAACCCTCAACAAGTATTTGTTTAACTCATGAATGTTGGAAAACACTTAAAACATTCATGTATTAAGCACTTCAGCTGGGGGTGGCAATGAGTAGGAATATCATTGTCATTTTGGTAACAGTGGTTATACCCAAACAATCTATGTAGAATACTGGTAAATTCCTTGGTATTTGTTCACTATTTATTTTAGGCTTTAGCTGTGTTTGTAGAACAGTGTAAACTTAGGAATGCACTCTATTATATTTAAAGATGGTGACCCCTTAGGGTGAACAGCTACTGGCAAAAAGGAGTAAGGGAGGGAGGACCAAAACTCTTTTCCAATCGCACAGATGTTTCAAAAAACTACCCACGGGTTTGTGGATGCAACTTATGCCTCTCAATTCTCATCTTCTTTTAAAAAGCCATCTAAACTCTGATTACTCTGGGCCCTTCTCTCTAGGCAGATCGATTTGTAAGACTTCCTAACAATGCCCCATTGTTTACAGTTGTTTCCAAACCATCCTTCAAGAATGTCTTTGGTTCACCCTGATTTTCAGGGACTCTAGTCTACCAGATCGTCTTTCACTGCTCTTTTCATTCATACCCAGCTGGGCCTTCAGAGTGCTGCACAGCTGGCTCGGAGCTTCGTAGCTTGTCTTCAGCCTCTCCCCCTGGAGCTCTGCACCCCGTTCCACTGGCCTCCTTTGGGCTCCTTCTCTAACTGTGCACCCTCCAGCAGCACTTCGGGGCTGTGCCTTCAGGCTGGACCAGCTACCCTCTTTTCTTCACTGAGCTCCTGCTCTTTTTCTTCAAAGCCCAGCCTTAAGGCACTTCTCAGGGAAGCCTTTCAGGACCTCCCCAACCAGCTCTCGTTCCCCAGTCCTAGTCAGTTTGCAGGACTGTAGCCAGAATCTCATAGGCTGGGAGGATCAAACAACAAACATTTACTTCTCACATTCTGGAGGATGGGGAGTCCCAGATCAGGGTGCCAGCATGCCAGAAGGGGGTTGTGGTGAGAGCCCCCTTCTTGGTTTCCTCACATAGGAGGGGGGATGAAACAAGATCTCTCCTGTCTCTTCTTACTAGAGCACTAATCCCATCATAAGGATGCCACCCTCAAGACCTAACTATCTCTTAAAGACCCCATCTTCAAATACCACCACATTGGGGATTTGAGTTTCAACATATGAATCCAGGGGGACACAAATTTGCGGTCCATAATATCCACTATCAGAGGGAATCACACGGCACATGTCTTTCAAGACACAGATTACAGGTGTCATTTACATTTGTGTGGGTGATTAACTGATGATCTACCTCCCCCACAAGACTCTGCAGTGATATAAGAGCAAGGATGATGTCTGTTGTTGCTCAGACCTTATTCCCAGTTCTTGGCATTTCTGCATCAACAACTATAAAAGGCCCTTTAGGGATGCTATTAATTCCTAACAAACTGGGCTAGAGATACTATTTTTTAAAATTATTTTATTTTTGGAGAGAGAAAGACAGTGTGCGTGTGAGCGGAGGGAGGGTGAAGGGCAGAGAGAGAGAATCTCAAGCAGGCTCCATGTCCAGTGCAGAGCCCGACACAGGGCTCGATCTCACGACCCTGAGATCTGAGCTGAAATCAAGTGTCAGACACTTAACCGGCTGAGCCACCCAGGTGCCCAGAGGTATTATCCCTACTTCAGAGATGAGGTCACAAGCTCAGAGAAGTAAGGCAAGGAGCTGAGGGCCAGAATCCGAAGAAGCAGAGAGGACAGACCCGTGCCTCTGACTCCAGGGGCCACACTGTCTCTCTCCTTGCTGCTTTTACAGTCTCTCCACATACTTATCTTAATTTGTGTGCACGTAAAGTATTTCAAACATAAGAAAAAGAGATGGATATAATGAGTGCCCATGCCCTCATTTACCAGCTTTATAAACATCTTTAAAATCTGTCTTATCTGCCTTTTTCTCCCCCATAAACTGTTATAAGTGGATTCCCCTGCGGAACATTCCGCGATTCTATTCCCTTTCTTCACGCCAAAGATGTGACCGTTATCCTGAACCTGGGGTTTTCATATGCAAGTATTTCTTGGACTACTGCGCCACGCGTATCCATACACAACAGGGTACCGTCGTGCACGTCCTCAAACTTCCTGTAAATGCCGTCACATCACGTGCACCACTCCCAAGTGATGGCTCGCACACAGCTCTACTTCCTCCTTCTAACTGCTACGGTTTATTCCACAGTGTGGAGCCATTAAGCTCACTCCCCTATCACTTTCGGTGGACACTGAGGAGTTCTGGTATTTTACAACTACTGACAGTGCTTCAATGAACCTATTTCTGCCTCCCATACATGCAGGTGATTCTCCAGCGGAGTGACCTTGAACAACGCGGGTCTGAACTGCATGCGTCTGCTCGTACACAGATGTTACAGGACAGGACTGTATATGTTCTCTTCCTTATGATTTTCCTAATAACATTTTTTTCTCTAGCTTACTGTATTGTACGAGTGCAGTATACACAATACATACAACAATGTATTAACTGACAAGATATCAATTCCAGTAGGCTATTAGTAGTGAAGTTCTCTGGAGTCAAAAGTTACACAGAAACTTTCGATTGCCTGGGAAGTCAGCGCCTCCAATCCTTGCATTACTCACTAAGAAGTGAAACTGCTGGTGTGCACAGAAGAATCCGTGCACAGAAACTGCAAACCTGCTCACCAACATACGGGTAATTCCTTTCATTTTAATCGATTAAAGATACATCACATTATATATTCCAGAAGCTGAGTCTTTTCTGGCCCCACCAACACTGATCAACCAAACCTCTCCCCATATACACAGAGCAAGTGAGTAACTAACGTCTATGAAATAAAATGAGTATCCTACCAGGAAATTTATTAAACATTTGTTCTGTGTCAGTCACCATCCTAAGACTTTTACTCATTCATTCATTTAAGTAGGCCCCATGCCCACCGGGGAGCCCAATGCAGGGCTTTAACTCACGACCCTGAGATCAAGCAAGAGTTGGACACTTAATCGATTGAGCCATCCAAGCACCCCTATCCTAAGAATTTTAAATAAAAAATACCTTTTCATTCTCATGACAACATTAAGAGGTTGTCTTTTTTTGCTATCCCCTTTTGCTATCTGATAGATCAAGTTAGATAGGTAGGTGACTCTCCTTTGCAGAATTCTCCTGGCTTTTTTCACGTATTTTTGTTTTCTTCCAGGCAAGCTTTACGTTCATGTACATATCTTAAAATGCAATAGCAAGATCAAGAGCTCTTCATTTTAATTCATAATGACAAGCATCTACCAACTGTCTTCTGCTACTATTTCCTGCCTCCTTGTCCCTCCAAGAGGCCAAAAGAAGTTCTTGCCACTTTCACTCTTTGTAGGCTCCAAGTACATAGAAAAAGAATGAAAAAGAGCCAAAATAGAGCTAGGATAATGTATAGTATATTCTATAGTTTAATGTTTTCAACACAGAGACAAAAAACATACAACTATACATATAACCTTAATTAGAGATAAAGCAAAAAATTTAAATTTAGGGCCCTCCATAAGTGCAAGGCCCAAGCTAACTGCCCCAGCGGCCCACCCCATTAAAAGCCCAGAATTCTCCCCCATTTTCCATTTTCATAGTAGCCGCTCCACAAAATCAGTAAACCACAGTCACGGTTTCCTCTGGCCTGATAATGGTCTAATTCTCCCTCAGCTGTATTAGGAGCAGGTGTTGGAGCTCCTCCTGGGGGGCTTGCCACACCAGCTTCATCTGAAAAGCTACAATGTGAATTTAGGTGCTCCCATCCCTCAAAATGTAGAAAGATCAAGGAGAAGATAAGACCTCTGTTTTTCTTTATAATTGTTCCATCCTGTGTAATTTATTTGTTCTTCTGTAGCATCAGTCAACTAACCCTTCAGTTATGAGTTTATGCATCAGCTGTTCGTGGTTCCTGCAGGCTTCAGCAGCTCCTCGGAGAGAAAGAACCCCCTGTCCACAGGCAGTGCTGGGTCAGGTCTTGGCTACACTCTCATGGTCTTTTAAAGATACTAATTTTGTGCTACTTTAATGAAAAAATAAAAGCCTGCCACAAGACCAACTGATTACACACACAGATCTTAGCCAAGAAAAACGTATTTTGTTTTCTCCATCCTAAATACACTCAAATTGTCACCAGTATTTTTCTTCAAGATTTAAAATTGACCAGTTTTTAAGTTTTATGTGAATAATGGCTTTGTTAGTGCTATGGGAGACCTATGACTAACAAACTTCCAGTAAATATTTACATTCAAAAATATTTTTCTTTTATTAGTACCTGTGATTTAAAACAAACATCTTAGGCGTGAGGCATCCCTTCTGTTGGAAAATTACAAAGGTATCTGCACTTATTTGGATTATTGAAGGCTCAGAGCCTTTGAATTTAAGAAAATTTGCAAAATGCAAAGAGTTTATGTGGTTCTTTCTTTAAATGAAAATTGTAATTACACTAAGCAATTCATTTCTTGACAAAAGGAAGGTTGGAGTCTTCATTATATCATGGGCATGAGAATTTGAGTCTTGGTTTCACATGGAAATAACATTCATCTTTTATTGGTAAATATACTAATTTAATCAGTTTACTGCTAAATACAAAAGATTATGAATTATGTAAATGCTTAAAATTATGTGAATGAAGAATGTAAGCATTTGAAAAATGTGATCTTAGGGAAAGCACATCTGAAAATTATCCTCAAGATGTTCCCTTCTGCATATATTATTACTGAAGAATTTCAGTGTATTAGAAACCAACCAAACAGAGCCAACAGTAGCCAGATAATCTATGATTTTCTTCTATGGGAAATTCTACTAACGGACCTCACTGTTATAAGTTCATTTAAAAAAAAACACTACCAACAACATCAGTGCTTGCTTCAGCAGCTCAAACACTAAAATTAGAATACAGAAAAGATCAAATGGCCCCTGCGCACAGATGACATCCAAATTCACGAAGGATCCCATATTTTTTTGAGAGAGAGAGCATGTGCGTGCGTGAGCTGGGGGGGTGTGTGGTGCTTAGGGAGAGAGAGAGAGAGAGAATCTTAAGCAGGATCCACGCCCTGTGCGACACGGGGCTCAATCTCACAACCCTGAGATCATGACCTGAGCTGAAATCAAGAGTCAGATGGTCAACTGACTGATCCACCCAAGTACCTCTAGCAACCCTAACCCTAAAAAATCATAAATACACAAAGCTATAGGTTGATTTTAATTTTTCTTTATTAGGTCTTTTTATTTTTTTATTT